AAGCGGTTGGACGGATGCTATTTTGGGGTCAACAAGGGATCTCCTCAAACATCCAGGCGGCAGTCAAGTATTATGAGAAGGGAGCCATCCAGAAGAAGGACCCAGTGATGATGTACGACTATGGAGTGGTTTTACTGAGGGTGAGCTCTGCTACACACTAACACCTGTACCACGGAATATCTACCATAACCTTTTAACTACCATTACATGTCATTTGCTTTATAATGAAATCATTTTTTTTATATGTAAAATGCCATAGGCCTAAATTTGTTGGAGGAGTTTTCCCTATATAAACTCATAGGAGTTACCTATGCCGTTTTCTGTTCGAGAGACCCCACCCACTATGCCCTCTACTATCTTTCTATTAATACATTATGTCTGGTGGGTCCTCTTTATAATAGGCCTACCCGTACATTGGTTTCGGCACACCACTACCAACTTTCTCCCTTTTCTCTATTTTCATATACTATTTAAGTTCTGACCACACATTTTATTCACTTAAATCAAACCCGCATAGCCCTGCTACAATATCTGTATGCTGTAAACAGACGAATAGGAAAAACCATACGAATAGGTTTACTCTCCTAGCAGTCGAACTGGAACAGCATACAACAAGTCCCCCCAAGAACGAGACAAGGCTCCGTTTTGAGGGTCAAGCAGGAACAGACAGAGCTATGGGTTTATTGTTCTTATATACACATTCTTACACATTAGTACCACCCACAGGGTTTTGGAAAACAACCAATAAACATGTACAATACACTCAGACACTCCCCCACAAAATCCTCTCCTCTGCCTGTGATACAATTACCTTACACAATGGGTTAATGTAATTATCACAGGCAGAGAAATACAGTTTTTCCCCATTATTCATAACTTTAAAAGTATACATCAGATTCACATATAACATTTTCAGAATCAGCATACTCCAAATACAAACATATGTCAAAATTATCCAAATTGCTCCAGTGGTTCAAAAGATAGATCGAAGTCCTTTGTGACCAAATGAAGCATGGCTTTTCTGCCCAAAACCAGTTCCACAGAGTCTTCTATCCTGGAGATAATTGTGAAGTAATCCAATTATCTCCAAGGACAGAGGCAAAACTCCATTAAGCACATGGCAGTAAAAAGACAGTAAAATACAATAAAATACACAAGGTTACATTTATTACATAAAATACAGACATGCAACATATCCCCAGATTCCTTAGGTCTGAGCGCACATTATTACTGAATGGCGCTCAGACCACACACATACAGTTCAATTGCCATGGAGCCAAAGTCTTTTATTACACGAATACACTCCATGGCATAGCTATCTGGGTTAAATTAGTTAATTCAGTAAATCCGAGAATCTACCGAACGCCAGGGCAGAAATACATGAATAGACCTGTGACAGAACTATCTGTCTGCTGGATTTTTGCCCGTTTGTCTGTTTGTCCCCGTTCGTATGAATGGCTGATTTCTATAGCCCAGCCATTCGAATGACTCTTTTTTCCGAACAAATCTGCCGAACGAACGGCCACCCAAGTGAGGAGTGTGCTGCAGGTTAACGAAGTGATCACCATTATAACATTGTGGTTAACCGCAGACACTTCTCAATTAAACCGAACTCAGGGTGGTCGTCGTTCGTATGTCGACCACGAGGCAGCGGCCATTTTAAATCATGCGAACGCTCAGCGGTGTTTGGCTCTATTTCTATGGAACTGAAAACGGACACTTTTTCTGTCGAACACCGCTGAAACAAGGGAACGCCTGGCTGCCTCCACGAAAGCATGCGAACACCGGCTGTTCGGGAGATTGAGAGCATACGAAAGACTTAACCCAGATAGCCCTCCCATGGAGTCATTCGTATACCGAAAGACTGTGAGAACTTTGACTCCATGGCGATTGAACTATGTGTGTGGGATCTGAGCGCTATTCGCCAATAATATGCACTCAGATCCAGGCTATCTGGGGACATGTAATACGAATGGGAAATGTAGTTATGCATTTTTATGTCTTTTATTATTTTATGTTTAAAATGGCGACTGTCCTTGTCCTGGAGTTAATTGAGTTACTTGGTAATTAACTCCAGGACAGAGGGGAGGGAATCAGAATGCACTGTGGGTAAGATATGTGACTGTGTGTCAGAAATGTCCTTCTATCTGTCTGTAATTTAAGTCTTCCATTTGGTCCCCTTGGGGAGTGTCCACCAGGTGGGAGACCTGCATAAATACGGGCAGGTAGCCCACAGTAAAACCAGATCTTATTTGACCCTCAATGCGGAGCTTCTGTCTCGTTATTGGGGGGATTTCTTCTTCACGGTTAGAGACTGCTGGATGGAACGAAAGCCGCTTTGGGGATATTATTGTTCGACGGTTCTTAGCAGTTCGTATATTGCCGTTCGGGAGTTTGGAGCCGTTCGTGGATTTCGATCGGGAGATTGCCGCTTCCCCTGCATTTGGTTCGTGGGTTACAGAGTAAGCGAACAGAGACTGTACTGCAGCCAGGGAAGGTTTACTAAACGGCGGTTTGGCTTAAGGACACGGGAGGTGTCTTAACAATTGGTGGCAAGCGACGGGATGAATCCTACAGCATTGGAGGTCAGCTACGAGACATGCAGTACGAGGAATTAAGGCGTGCTACACTTAAGGACATATTGGAACGCCGAGGAAGGTCAGCAAGCAATTTAAAGAAATGGGAGATTATTGCTTTGCTAATGGAGATGGATGCAGCAACGGGAATGGAAAGAGTCAACGTGCCCAGTACCTTGGATTTAACACCCGAGGAAATACAATTTAACCGGGCAGTGCAAATAAGGCTGGCACATTTTGGCCCCAACCCCTCAGCTGACATCGTGGTTCGTGTGCAGGCAGCAGTTGCAGCACAACAGGCGGCCCGGGAAAGAGGAGCTGCAGCAGCAGAGGTACCGTATGACAATAATGTGGTTGCCAGAAAGAAGGTACCTTTTGCTGCATTTAAAAATTTTGTGGAAACAAAGGGAGAGATTGATGGATTTTTGGCAGACTTTGAGAGGCAGTGTGCGCTACATCAGGTACCTGCAGATGAATGGGTCACCATCCTCTCTGGGAAATTATCTGGCCGGGCTAGTGAAGCTTTTCCGGCCATCCCAGAGGAGGAGATCACCAGCTACCGGGCTGTGAAAGAGGCGCTCCTAGCCAGGTATGCAGTAACCCCAGAGGCGTACAGGCGGAGGTTTAGAGAAACCAACAAGCTGGTTGGGGACTCTTATGTGGAATGGGCCAGCAGAGTCCATCGTACCGCAGCCCACTGGATGGCTGGATGCCAAGCGGTAACTGGGGAGGAGGTGTTACAAGTGTTCCTGCTGGAGCACTGCTTTGATAGACTACCTGCTGGGGTCCGGGAATGGGTCAGAGACAGAAAACCTACCCTACCCGAGGCTGCCCGTCTGGCAGACGAATACACGGATGCCCGCAAGTTGGATGGTACAGCTGCTAAAGCCCCTGCCAGACTGGAGTATCGACCAGCAGTAACACCCGCTCCTGCAGTCTACCAACCCCCAGTACA